GATACGATTGCAGTAGACCAGAACTCAGTCTGAACTCAATTCTATGAGCAAGGAACTGGAGAGTTTTTAAGAGGTGAGGGTGGGAGGGATTCTTGGCTACCTGTGTTTTCTAATTGGCCTTACATAAGAGAAAGCAAACTTTCTGGTGTCTTCATGACAGAGGGTAGTTTTGCAACCTGTATCAAGGCACCTACAGAGGTTTGGCTCCTACTCCCACAGAGAATTTGAGTTGGGGCATTGACTTCCTAGATTACAGTTCAAAGGGATGGCTCCCAGGCCCTTGAGAAAGACATTCCTACATTATAATACTGGCAAGAAGCTTTTTTAAAAAATTACATCTCAAAGGGTAGAGAAAGAATTTACAATTACAAGTTTTCTAAGGTAAATGCCCTAAGAAAGGGAGGTCAAAGGCTGAGAGACAGGAAGAAGCCTGTATAAAGTTTAATCAAGTTGAAGAGAATGTTAATCACTTGACATAACACTATTTAGAAATATTGAAGCAATCTTTAATAATAACAATATGTAAGAGAGTGATTCTTCTCACTTTCGCTTTTGGTATGAGTTATAAACTGGAGGATTGACAAATTTAAATAAGGGAAGTACTATTATTCTTTTAATTTGAATTTTTTGATCATTGCAAGCATTAAACATTTCCGTATGTCTATTAGGCATGTATATTTCTTTGCTGTTGATGCTTTTTTGCCTTTTTCTATGCCCTTTTGTAGTTTTTGTTTATTTTGTTTTATTTTTGAAGAGTGAAATATCTTCACAATCTTGCTAACATAACTGGAATTTGTAATTGCAATACTACTTTTTTGGGCTTTTACAGTGATAATATTATTAAGACATTATTTTAAGAAAGATAGCTCAATGTTTATATTTGAAAATATATTTTAGGGGNTATTGTATTGTATTGTATTGTATTGAGGAAATGTGGTAAAAGAGAAACACATATTTAATGATGTCAACTTTATTTACTTTTACTTGCCTTGTTAATACATGCATATGTTTTTGGACAAAAAAGCATTGGATGTTGAAAGCCTGCTTCTTATTACAATGTAGACATTGATTAAACATGACAGATCCCTACCATGATCCCAAATGTTACCTTATTTCAAAACGCGTGTTCTGAAAGAAATCTTTCTGAACATGTATATTGTTCTGTGTATATTAAATATGGGTATTATTCTGTGTATATTAAACATATGTATATTAAGCATCTTTTCCTATATTCCTGAGCATTTACATTTATACTTAACCTTTGATAATTGTTAGACATGTTTGTCCCCCCCAAGGGAATGTTGTTATTGTTTGTGATAGTTATTTCAGAGAACACTGATTAGGTCTGATGAATCCTTGGCTGTCTTTACATTGGAATGAAAAGATCTGTGAATACTTTAAACAAAATGTAGAAACTATGGAATTTTGGGCAAATTGCTTATTTTAGAGAAATGTCCTCTAAACTCAATTTGAATTAACAAAGTAATTTTTTGGTTTATTTGTTTGGAAAATATTATTATTATTATTATGCAAATAGACTATTTTTTAAAGCACTTTTTACAAATATATTACTTTTAAATACAAAAACAGACATTAGGAAAACTGAGTTAAGGTTTATGTGGTGATGTTAGTACAAAATAGTAAAAGTGATGGGTAGGTGTATGAATACAGAGTAAATACATTTATTGTGTCCATATCTCTGTGTTTTCCAGTCTTCCAAACAGAAAATGATTTGCAGAATTGTAGAGCTTTATTTATTTATTTATTTTTAACATATCTCTACTATTTATCAAGTAAGTAACATAAGCTACAACCTACTGGTATATAGACCTAAACCAGAGCCAGTGTTAATCACCAATGCCATTTTAACATTTAGTTAGTTACTTACTTCATTTATACACATCACTTGATGTATATGCATGTAAAGTTTTCAGACACAGAAGCACATATTAAAAAGTTTTTAAAGCAAAAAAAGCAAACTCCATATCTTCATTAAGCAGAGTAAATAAACAGATATGAAGTTGCCAGTCTCAGGTAAACCCATGGCAAGCTTAATTTGCATGTGGGCACATTTATTGAATTGTGATATAACAATTACTTGAGTATTCATCAAATGTGCAATTTCCTCCAGTTATATATAACCCACCCGCTGTTTAAAGTCGTGTTCTGAAAATAGAAGCCCAACATTTAAATAATTATTTTATTAAATTCAAATATACACACTCACTGATGAATGAAATCTTGGCAATTTAACTTTATGCAAAAAATAATGAGTATATTCTATCATGTCTGGGATTTTTTTGTGGCTCTCCATGTTGAAAAGGAAGACTAGGACAACTTTTTTGTTTGTTTGTTTTTGTAGGTAACAATGCTCTTTTTCTTTTGCCTCCCTAGGATTTTTAAATGCAGCTTTATAATTATGTTAAATGTCTGAATTTGATTATGTTAGAAATGTATCAAATTGTTTATATTTATACAATCAGGTTTTTTGTCAGTTCTAAAAACTCTTCAGTTATGTATTTGATAATGTTATCTGTCCCAACGTGCCGACTTCATCTTCAGGCACAGAACAGAAATGCCAACAACAGTGAAAGCTGACCTTGGTTTTATGCCCTCTATCAAATGACATTCTCATTTCTTACTTCTTTCTTCTGCTAGCATTCTGGAAAAGACATTAAAATTGGTCCTACATAACACTGATTCCATTTTCAAAATGTTATTCTGCCTTTTACTGGCTGCAGTATTGATTTTTATTTATTGAATATTTAGTTTCCTTTTAAGTATTTCTAATCCCCATTTCTCTTTTCTATCTCCTGATTTAAAAAAAAAAAAAATCTCAACCTCATTCCACTTTCTGAGTTTCTTTACCTGTTTTATAAAGTTTTGTAGTGTTATATCACACTGGAACTAAAAAATAGGTTTCTAAATTTTTCTTCTGTTGCTAGTGATAAATCATTTTCAGAAATCTGTTTTTTTCTTTAATTTATTAGGATAATACTCTTTTTCATCTCTTTTGGCCCCACTTTGATGGTTTTATATTTTTCTCAGTCTTCAGTGAGAGCAATTTGATTGAGACTTGCCATTGACCATGGGCCAGTTGAACAAATTTCTCTGTTTACTAAAACCAGAAAGCAAGTTTGCATGTAAAGTTTTACAGCCCAATTCTCAGCATACAAAGTTTATTTATTTATTCATTTTTTAGCATAGCTCCTCTGACCTGAGACAGGATGTTCTCTTACCTTCAGGGCCTGACTTTCTGATACTCGGAAAGGTGGAGTGGCCCTGTTTTCAGGGCTTTTATCTGCCCCATATTTTAGTGATAAATGAGAACTGCACTACCTCTCCTCACCCCCATCTGGCACAAGACAATCTTCTGTTCCCCACTCCTTCCCTAGCAGTTGTACCCACTCCTTCCCTAGCAGTTGTACCCACTCCTTCCCTAGCAGTTGTACCCACTCCTTCCCTAGCAGTTGTACCCACTCCTTCCCTAGCAGTTGTACCCACTCCTTCCCTAGCAGTTGTACCCACTCCTTCCCTAGCAGTTGTACCCACTCCTTCCCTAGCAGTTGTACCCACTCCTTCCCTAGCAGTTGTACCCACTCCTTCCCTAGCAGTTGTACCCACTCCTTCCCTAGCAGTTGTACCCACTCCTTCCCTAGCAGTTGTACCCACTCCTTCCCTAGCAGTTGTACCCACTCCTTCCCTAGCAGTTGTACCCACTCCTTCCCTAGCAGTTGTACCCACTCCTTCCCTAGCAGTTGTACCCACTCCTTCCCTAGCAGTTGTACCCACTCCTTCCCTAGCAGTTGTACCCACTCCTTCCCTAGCAGTTGTACCCACTCCTTCCCTAGCAGTTGTACCCACTCCTTCCCTAGCAGTTGTAGCCCCTAAATTAACACAGAACAGAAATACTGACAGTGGTGAGAACCAGGAAACACAGTCTACCTGTTTCAAATCAGTATCTACAAAGGCAAAAGATGGTTGCCACGTTTACTGGATTGAAGAGAACTTCGCAGTGGCATAGTGTGGAGGTAGAAACGATGGTGTGCCTGCCACCTCGTTACCTGGCAGCAGCAAGGGTGGGCAACGGCTTTTATTCTTAATATAGTTCAGGTATGATTGTAGTTAAAGACATTTCTTTCATACTGCAGCAATAAGTTGTCTATTAGTGCTAATTTTCTGTGTTGTGAATGGTCATCTTTTGGTGTGTCTTACCATATTAATATATTTTACTGTGATGTTAACAGAGAAATCATTGGGTACATTTATCCAAATATCTTTTAAAACTGGAAATCCATATTCTTTATTCACTTTTAAATTTTGCATCTGTATATACATGCGACTCTTATCTAAACTGCAGTCATTCTAGACCATGAACTGTGAAGAAAACGTCCTATGTCTTCTATCCAGTCTTCAAAATAGTGGATACAAGGCATTTAAGAGAGTTGAGATGTTAACATTTAGTTAACATTTAATAGCAAATCAGATAGAATCCGTCTTTCTACTGTCTGTTACCACTTTTTCGACACTGCCAATATTACAAACAATTGTGGAGGTAAATGGAATGGCTGTTTGATGTAATTTGCAAATAGGTTTGAATTCTAGATCCAGTACTTACTGTTTTGAGTAATTTTTTTTTATTTTGAGATTAAGTATAGATTCACAAGCCTTTGTAAGAAATAGAGAGACAGTTCCATGTAATCTTTACCCAGTTTGCCCTAATGTAACATGTTATAAAACTATAGTACATTATCACAGTAAGGATGGTGATACTGACAGAGGCAAGATGCATAATATTTCTATAATCACAAGTATCTCTCATGTTTCCTTTTATAGCCACACCCACTTCCCTCCCACTTCCATTTCCCTAACCTTGACAATTACTAATCTGCTTTCCAGTTCTTCAAAAATTTTGTTACTTAAAGAATGTTATATATAAATGGAGTCATCCTGTATGTAACTTTTTGTGATTAACTTTTTTCACTTAGCTTAATTCTCTGGAGGTTAATCCAGGTTATTATGTCTATCAATAGTTTGTTCCTTTTTATTGCCGTGTAGTTTTCCATGCTATGGTTGGACCACAGTTTGTTTCACCACTCACTGGTTAAATTTCACCTGGGTTTTTTCTGGGTTTGGGCTATCATGTGCTATGAACATACATGTACAGGTTTTGTGTGAACATAAGTTTTCTTTTTTTGTGGTCTCGAAGCCCAAGAGTGCAATAGCAGGGTTGTATTATAGTTTCAAGTTTAGTTTAGTTTAGTTTTTTTTTAAATAAAAGCAATATTAAGATATAACTTACATACCATACAATTCACCTTTGAAAAGGTGTAACTTATATCAAAAAACTCAAGAATTTTTCAAAGTAGGCTCAACTCAAGAGTATACGCAGAGCTGTGCAATTATCATCACACTCATTTTTAGAACATTTTTAGCATCCCCAAAAGAACCCTCATATTCATTTACAGTTATTCCCCCTTTGCTACAAACCTTCACACCCCCCAGACACCAAACCTAATCAACCACTAATCTGCTTCTTGTCTCTATAAAATTCCCTAGCCAGAACATTTTATGTAAACAGAAACATCCAATATTTGGTCTTTGACTGGCTTCTTTTACTTAGTATAATGTTTTCAATGTTCACCCATATTCAGTAGTATCAAAACTTTATTCCTTTTATTGCAGAACAATATTCCATTGTGTAGATATACCATATTTTATTAATGCATTCATCAGAAGATAGACATTTGTACTCTTTCTGCTTTTGGATATTATAAATAATACTGATATGGATATTACATACACATTTTTGGGTGGACTTAGGTTTTCATTTTTTTGGGGGGGTATATATCTAGAATAAGAATTGATGGTTCATTTTGTAACCTTATGTTTTACCATTTGAGGAATTCTAAACTGCTTTTTAAATGGCTGCACAATTTTCCTTTATCTTCCGCAGTGTATGAGGGTTCCAATTTCTTCATATACTCACCAAAACTTGTTATTATCTTGTCTTTATGACTGTAGCCATTGTAGTGTGAGGACATGGTATATCACTGTGGTTTTGATTTGATATCCCTGATGGCTAATGATGTTGAGTGTCTTTTATGTGCTCATTGGCCATTTGTATATCTTTGGAGTAATGTCTGTTCAGATCCTTTGCTCATTTTTAAATGGATTATGTGTGTTTTTATTATTGGGTTGTAAGAGTTCTTTACGTTTTCTAGATACAAATCCCTCACCAGAATTATCTATTGCAGATATTTTCTTCCATGCTTAGTTTGTCTTTTTGCTTTGTTGATTGATGTACAAAAGTTTTTAATTTTGAAAAAATCTAATGTATTTATTATTTTTTTCCTTTGGTTGTTTGTGCTTTCGGTGACATATCTAAGAAGGCTTTTCCTAACCCAAGGTTCCAAAGAGTTACTACAATATTTTTTCTAAAAGTTTTGTAGTTTTACCTCCCACATTTAGGTCTACAATCCATTTTGAGTAAATTTTTGTGCATGGTGTGAGGAATAGGGACAACTTTATTCCTTCACATGTAGATATCTAGGTGTCCAAGCACAATTTGTTGAAAAGACTATTCTTTCCTCATTGAATTGTTTTGACACTCTTGTAAAAAAACAAATGACCATAAATGTAGGAGTTTANCTTTTCCTAACCCAAGGTTCCAAAGAGTTACTACAATATTTTTTCTAAAAGTTTTGTAGTTTTACCTCCCACATTTAGGTCTACAATCCATTTTGAGTAAATTTTTGTGCATAGTGTGAGGAATAGGGACAACTTTATTCCTTTGCATGTAGATATCTAGGTGTCCAAGCACAATTTGTTGAAAAGACTATTCTTTCCTCATTGAATTGTTTTGACACTCTTGTAAAAAAACAAATGACCATAAATGTAGGAGTTTATTTCTGGATTCTATTCTATTAATCTATGTGTCTATCCTTATCTAAATACTACACAGTCTTGATTACTGTAGCTATGTACTAAGTTTTGAGATTAGGAAGCCCATCAATTTTCTTCTTTTTCAAGACTGTTTTGACTAGCCAGTTTCCCTGCATTTTAATAAGAATTTTGGGACAAGTGACCAATTTCTACCAAGCACCAGGTGAGATATTAGGTGCACATATATTTGGAGAGTTTCGTTATCTTAATAATATTTAGTCTTCTGATTCATGAACATGGTATGTCTTTTCATTTATTTGGGTCTTCTTTAATTTCTTCCAATATGTTTTCTAGTTTCATTTTTATGTCTTGTGCTTCTTTTTAAAATTTAGTCTTCTGTATTTTATTCTTTCTAGTGTTATTGTAAATGGAATTGTTTTTATAATTTCATTTTTTGATTATTCAGTACTAATGTATAAAAATACAATTGATTTTTGCATATTGATTTTGTATACAATAACATGCCAGAACTTATCTATTAGTTCTGTTAGTGTTTTAGTAGATCTCTTTGGATTTTCTATGCACAGCATCATGTCATCTACACAGATAATAATTTAAACTCTTTCATTCAGATCCAGATAACTTTTGTTTCTTTTTCTTGCCTTAATGCCCTGGCAATATAAAAATTCCAGCATGATGTTGAATAGAAGTGATAAAAGTGTATCGTGTTGTCTGGTTCCTGATCTTAGGGGGGAACATTCAGTTTTTCACCATTATTATGATGTTAGGTGTGGGTTTTTTATAAAAGCCCTGTATAAGGTTAAAGATGTTCCTTTTCTACTAAACTTTTTGGTGATTTTATTGTAAAAATGTGCTTGATTTGTCAAATGATTTTGCCGAGTCTATTTAGATGGTCATCTGGTTTTTGTCTTTTATTCTATGAATAAGATGTATCACATTGTTTTGTTTTTGCATTCTAAAACAACCTTCTATTCTTGAAATAAATCCCACTTGGTCTTGGTGTATAATTATTTTTGTATAAGGCTGGATTCAGTTTGCTAGTAATATGTTGAGAAATTTTGCACTTATATTCATAAGAGATGTTCATATGAAGTTTTTTTTTTTTCTTATGATGTTTTTGGTTTTGTTATCATGGTGATACTGACCTCATGGAATGAGTTGGAAAGTATTCTTGCCTTATTTGCTCTTTGGAAGAGTTTATGAATAATTGGTATTACTTCTGCTTTAAATATTTGGTAAATTTCACCAGCAATGTCATCTGGTCCAGGACTTTTCTCTGTAGAAGGTTTTCAAAATTACATCTGATATATTCTCAGATTTTCTGTTTCTTCTGGAGTCAGATTTGATAGCTGGTGTTTTAATTTTTTCTTAAGAAATTTATTCACTTCATCTGAGTTGTCAAATTTGTTGGCATATAGCTGTATGGAGAATTCCATTTTGGTCCTTTTTATTTCTGTTAGATTGTTAATAATGTTCTCACATTCATTTCTGATTTTGGTAATTTGCATTTTGTCCCTTTATTCTTGGTCATTCTTGCTAAAAGTTTATGAATTTTGCCATTCTTTTAAAAGACTAAGCTTTTGCTTTCCTTGATTATTTCTATTTTTCTAGCTTCTGTTTCCTTAGTTTCTTTTTTAGTCTTTATTATTTCACCTTTTTCTGCTTGATTTAGGTGTACTTTGCTCTTTTTTTCCCATTGCTTTAGGTCAAAGTTTAAGTTGTGGATATGAGATCATTCTTTTTTAATATAAGTATTTACAACTACAAATTTCCCTCTGAGCACTATGTTAACTTCATTTCATAAGTTTTATTATGCAGTGTCTTTATTTTTATTTATCTCATAATATGCCTTCATTTTTTTATTTCTTTAATTTTTTTATTATTTGGTAGTATGTTGTTTAATTTCCACTCATTTAAAATTTTCCTGATTTTCTTTCTATTATTAATTTCTGTCTTTTTATTTATTTTTATTGAAACATAGTTAATTGCACATATTTGTGAGGTACAGAGTTGAAT